ACGCGAAACGTGTTGATCATATCGTTTTACAGCCTCATAGTCGTGGTCTCCCTGTGCGGTAATCTACTGGTGTGTAAGATAGCGTTCACGAAACGCAAAATGCGGACAACCACTAACATACTGATCGCCTCCCTGGCCTGCTCGGACATCGTGATGACCGCGTTCAACATACCCTTCAACATAGCCCGGCTACTGCTATCGGACTGGCCGTTCGGGTCCGTACTCTGCATACTGGTGCCGCTCATACAGACCTCCTGTGTCTATGTGTCCACATTCACGATGACATTCATAAGCCTTCATCGGTGGCGGACTATATCCAAGAGATCGCTATTCAGGAAGTTCTCGCCGATCAGGCTGTTTGCCATCATAGCCGTGATATGGGGGCTGGCTATCATTGTCAGCCTTCCCCTGGCGATATTCAACCGCATAAAGGAGGTGACCTTCCAGAGTCAGACGGTGATCCGGTGCCGGCCCCAGTACCCCAACTTTGGCTTCAATTACCCCCTGTTTTTGTCGGTTGAAGTACTGGTCACTCAGTACGTGGTGCCCCTCACCATCACGTGTATTGTGTACGTCAAGATCGGGCTGGTGGTGGTGCAGCAAGGTAAATTGGCGGGCATGTCCAATGATGATCGGAAGCGCCGACAGGTTGAGGCCAAGCGCCGCCGGATTGTTATGTTGGCGCTGGCGGTCATCGTGTTTGCCGTTTGCTGGTATGTATTGTATTGTTTGCTGGGATTTATGTGGATATATGTTTGTCTTGTGGTTAAATATTTTTCTACCCTGTTTCTTTTAGGGCACCCATCAATTTATATCATTTATTAGTCGACTTTAAAGTCTTTAAACATAATTTCAAGATATTTATTGTGGTAAGTGTTTGCTATTATTATTACTTTTATATCCATGTCCACTATTAGTTAAAATACAAACATATATATAATACATATAAAATATATATAATACAAACTTTTAATGTTCAAATACTGTATAATGCTGAAATATTGTCTCATAAGTTAGTAAATATAAATATAGTTTAGATTAGTTGTCTGATTTGTTTTTGGTTTTTAAAGTAATTTATTAAATACTAAGTTATTTGCGAAATAATTAGAAAATTTTTGGCATTGCTTTAAAATAGTATTCATAAGTTTTTTAAATATAATTTTTTTCTAGTCAACTGACTTTGAAAAACTAAAAATAAAAATGAAATGCTAATTTTGAAATAGTCAGTGAAACTTATTTTTTACTTTTAATGAAGTAGATTTAGAAAAATGTGTCAACAACAATTTTCCCACATTTTTGTTCATTTAACACTAATTGACATTTATGACTTTATACTACAGTTTATTATGCTACCATGCTAATTGCCACGGATTATAAGATTAAACAAATGTCAAAACAACATTCACTACTGTTTACAATTATGTAAATTAGCTAGCATAAAAATTAATTTACTTTGTTTTTATAATCCGTTATTACAGTGCCATTGGCTCGCAATGTCATCCGTTTGGTAAATATAATTTTATCACATATTTTTGACATTATATTTATGATCATGATAGTTATCATTAAAAATAAGTTGCCAGACCCAATTGTCAACCCTCTATATATATATCCCATACAGTTATAACCCATTCATATACTGCTATTACAACGCCTCNAAAATAAGTTATTGCTTTAAAATTGTGAATATAATTTTCGCCTACATACTATCAAAATCACTTTTTTGGTATGGATTTTGTATGTAAATTCTGTGTGACTAACGGAATATTCTGTGCGAATGCTGTTCATTGCTTGAAATTTGATAATAAATAACTGAATATTCTGTACATAATTGTTATTGTCGTTGGCGGCTATATAATAATAATGATTTTAAAACTGTATTTTATTTTTTGAAAAATTCATTCAAAGAATGAGTGGTGTTTCAAAATTAATTACATTATCGTAACAAACAGTGTGAAAATATTTACAGAATATTCTTTACAAAATGCTTTTCGTACGCCAAACAACAACAACAGAATATTCTACACTACAAACAAAAACCTTTGTTTTAAATTCACTACAAATTAATGACTGATTGCTAAAAATTCACAATTAATTCATACACGCATTGTATGGTATCGTAAACGCCATGAATAGCACATTAGTCTACGACATCGACACCAGCCTCACCGACATCGCGGTGTACATCGGCAACACTACCAGCCCAACCACCGCACCAGTGGCCAGCCCTACCCCACCGGAAGTGCAGACCACGCGAAACGTGTTGATCATATCGTTTTACAGCCTCATAGTCGTGGTCTCCCTGTGCGGTAATCTACTGGTGTGTAAGATAGCGTTCACGAAACGCAAAATGCGGACAACCACTAACATACTGATCGCCTCCCTGGCCTGCTCGGACATCGTGATGACCGCGTTCAACATACCGTTCAACATAGCCCGGCTACTGCTATCGGACTGGCCGTTCGGGTCCATACTCTGCATACTGGTGCCGCTCATACAGACCTCCTGTGTCTATGTGTCCACATTCACGATGACATTCATAAGCCTTCATCGGTGGCGGACTATATCCAAGAGATCGCTATTCAGGAAGTTCTCGCCGATCAGGCTGTTTGTCATCATAGCCGTGATATGGGCGCTGGCTATCATTGTCAGCCTTCCCCTCGCGATATTCAACCGCATACAGGAGGTGACCTTCCAGAGTAAGACGGTGATCCGGTGCCGATCCCAGTACCCCAATTTTGGCTTCAATTACCGCCTGTTTTCGTCGGTTGAAGTACTATTCACTCAGTATGTGGTGCCCCTCACCATCACGTGTATTATGTACGTCAAGATAGGGCTCGTGGTGGTGCAGCAAGGTAAATTGGCGGGCATGTCCAATGATGATCGGAAGCGCCGACAGATTGAGGCCAAGCGCCGCGACAGATTGGCGCTGGTGGTCATCGTGTTTGCCGTTTGCTGGTATGTATTGTACTGTTTGCCCTTTTCGGGGAGGGGGGAATTCACTTAGTATGTACATAGATTTTAGCCGATTTATGAGCATTAGTTATATATTTAATGAAATATTAAGTGTGGGTATTTAATAAGCAGGTATATATTGAATGTCGCGAATATTGGATATAGATTTGTCATATAATTTATTACATCTTTTATGAGTTGCTGTTTTGCTTTTTCGTGTCAGGGTAATTTGTTATTAAAGGCTATTATTATAGTTATTATTTGTGAGAAATTATTATAAATTGTCTGGTGTTTATGTATTGTAGAAATTGATTAATAATTAATAATGTTAATAGACATTTATGTTGAACAGTATAAAATATTATATCAAACATATAATATAAGTTATACTATGTTATATTTATTAATGTTAACAGATTAGGCGACTATTTATCATGATAGGTTTTCAGTTTACTGCAAATAAAACGAATTAATATACACTAAATAATATTGGAATATATCCTGAAATTGGATTAGCTAGTATAATTTATTAAACGTAATTTGAAATAATAGTTTATAAAAATATATTGCTTTTAACTTAATATGTATTTAATATAAAAAATAAAAATATAAACGTTTTTTTCAATCAATTAATTATCATTACATGATATATGGGCTCAGGATTTGATACCCAAAAGCCAGTGATTGATATAAATATATTTGGGACGCAAATAGTGTACACAAAAAGTACGGTAAAAGTATTTTTCACGACTCAAAAATGTCATTTAATCTTTATTATTGACAAACCTTTATTTAAATCTTCATGATTTAAAAATATTTCTATCTATCCCTCACCCTATCGTATGCTCTCTCTCTCTCTCTCTCTCTCTCTCTCTCT